TCACTGAAGTCGACATCTACAACTGACATACCACATAGCTGCACAATTAACTTCCCGAACTTCGAGAGACAATATATCATACGGTTAGCTACTGTGATTCCTTGCGATCTTGCGACAGCACGAAAAGTGCAAAAAAGCATTATCACACCGACCCGCCTGGTTTGTCACTGATCCGACTGGATGACAAAATCGCGCCCAATCTATACGTACTTCACAAATTTTCATGCACATAACTAGTGGATTATCGGTAGCAAGCGCAAGTTGTTATATATTGCGCAACTTATCACCCAAATCGGCGGAACTCGTCCAAATTTTCTTTGCAATCAAGTAAGATCGGCATGAGCTCTAGAAATGATCTTCACTACAGAAGAGTTGTGGTATCTGGCAGATACGCTTGTCTCGTTTGTCCGCAAATTATAGTACTTAGATTGTGACATCTGGGATATTCTTTATTGCTTTTCCCAGCGTGTGGTTATTACAGTAGTGGATGTCAAGTAGTGGATCGATTCCCTCAAATGATTCTGATCGGATTTGCGGAGGCCGTTATCACAGTACAGTCGTTCACCGAATGCTTCGAGAATTGCTTGAATTCACGTCAGCTGTATGCAATGAATTGTACCAGTGTCATGTTTTTCTATGAGGTAGACGTTTTCAAACCAAAAAACCGGACCCAATTTTTTTTATTTTTCTTAATTCTCCGCTTCTCAAGACTAGTGAAGTCATTCCGCTCACAGTTATACACCTCTGCTGCGCTATATCCCTCTTCCTGTTCCAGGAGAACGTGCATAATTGCATCTTAAATAGTGAAAATCGGCGAACGCAGAAGAAGCTGTTTGTGGAAGAAAACAAGGATATTGTCGATTACTTCGAAATGAATTGCTCGTTGACGAATCAGAATAAGGAAGTGAAATATGAGCAACCTTTGAAAAGTTAATTAAATTTGTTAGTGAATTTTGAAAAGCTTTCAGACTGAATCTGTTGTTTTATGTTTAATAAATTTATGCACAGTTCAAGAACCAGTCCCACAAATTTGGTCAAATCACAAAACTCTTTAAATACTGATGCCCAGTTTCGATATTTACAAGAAGCAGTTACACTCTGAATACGGCCACTCTTAAATATCCTTTCCAGTTACATCTTTATGTGGCTATGGAATAGTGTTCTTTTTTTTATGTGATTTCTTTTGTGTGTGTGCATGTCCTTCAGCCTTATAGGTACCACTCACGGTCCCGTCGTACGTACTCGTTCCGTGCAAATCGATCGAAGTGTCTGGCACCAGTTGTTTTCCATATGATTAAAATTTGTATTTTCTAATAAAGTTTGCTCAAAAAAACCCTAAAAGCTTTACTCACAAAAGTGATTCATGCATAGTATATATCGTGTTTTGTGGTAAGCAACTTGCCATACGTTTTTGGAGATGGAAAACGACAAGCGGAACAAACGTCAATTTGAGGCACGAAGGTAACCCCTCTGTCTTTCGTTTACAGCAGATGTGAGTAACAAAAGTTTATCGTAAACCACTTTTTGAAGAACGAAAGAGCATATCAGATGGAAGGGAAGAATTGTCAGGCAACGTTTAGAACACGAATGTGCGGCGTGCTTTGTATCCTCCTTTACCGCTTTCAGCGGAACCCTCGTACGTGTTGCTCCCGGAACCGCGTCCTCCAGTCTCCTCATCACCCTTTGTATTGACCGATTCCTCACGCCGTCCAGCTCCTTCCTGATCGTCTGTTCGACTGGATCCCGGGCGTAACCGGGCGTGTTCACGGTCTGGACATGGACAGTACTGAAAAACCGAGAATTTACACTGACCCAATTTTAAACGGACGCTTTTTCCGGCTCAGTTCCAATTATAAAATTTCAGACCAAAGAACATATAGCGAGCTGGGTCTACTTTTATATCATAATATCCAGACTCATTGTTGCTTATTTTTCTAAGGCGCCTTCGCCCCTCGAGAGGTTTTGACTTACGACTTTGATTTTTGTAAAAATTCGATAAAAACAAAAGAAATATTTTGATCGTTTTTTGATAAAAAAATTTCATCCAACCTCGGCATCCTTGCCAGGATTTCCGGGTGGACCTTCGGGACCTTCTTCACCATCAGCTCCTTGTGGGCCTTGGAAGCCTGGCTGTCCTGGTGGTCCTTCTGGCCCCGGCTCTCCTGGCGCAGCATCTTTGCCTTTGTTTCCTGGTGGTCCCTCTGGGCCTTGGTCGCCCTGCGGACCACGGTTTCCTTTACGGCCAACAACTTTCTCCGCATCCGCACCTTTCTCGCCAGG